AACCCCGTCCACATTTCTCTGAAGAGATCCATGCTGGCTTTTACCAGCACGCTCCTGATCTGTGCCTCTTCCTCCAGACAGGGATGCAGCAGCCCCTTAAGCAATCGGATCTGCATCTCCATTTCTCTCTTGCTTAATGAGATTGCGTTTTCCCTGCTGACGGGTGTCACGGTAACAGTTCACAGTCATCCTTTGATCACTTCATACACTTTAAGTTTTGCTTTTGCTCAGTTGCTTTCACTGACTCAGCTCCTGCTCTAGCGGAAACAAAAGAGCAGAAATTAGTCCCTTTGTGCTTGGCTTTGCCCTTTGGACTTGCTGGCATCTGCCTTTTCCTACAGGTGATTAGTTTTGTCTGTCACTAGTCTGGGTAATCTGGGAGGTGGTGGCATGGTGTTGACCCTGGGGTCACAGATAATGCTCTAGGTGTGCCTTCGTCACCCAAGACATACCCAGGCTTCATCTGCTTGTGTTTACTGGAGATGTGAAGAGCAAAGTACACTCTAAACAAACCTTCCCAAAGGACTTCCTTCCCGAAGGAAACGTGATTGCCCTATTTAACACCCCAGATGGGTGCTCTTGAACTGGAAGACGTGTTGGGGAGTTAACACTGCCATTACATCATTGTATATGTCCCCTGCAAAGATTGAGTTGACAGAAGCCTCAGCATCCCTCAGAGGGGATCTGTTTGTCTTGGCCTCCTCTGGAAGGAGTCTCCCAGCCTTTTCCCTCTTCTATCGTACGTGGAAGCATTGGCTGAGCACTTTCTGCAGCGCTGTCATCTTTCCATGCCAAGGCTTGAAGGAGGTGTTATTTGGCAGATGTCTTCTGAGCATAAAGTGGCCTTGCTACAATAATACTGGCTCTAATCCTGCTTTGTCCTAAGCAATAAACTTTAGAGCTGGACACAACTCGTATAAATTAATGACCCACACCTCGTTCATATTCATGGCTTTCTTAACACATGCTGTCTCCTCTGTGTACACACGAGCTGTGCTGTTTCCTGGCTGCTCCACAATTTATGGCCTCTTACTGGAAGAGTTATGTGCTTGCTTCTCCTTTGTAAAAGCTTTTAACTAGGAAGGCTAAGAAATGCCACGTTTGACCTGGCCTTCCGAAACCCAACTTTACTCTTCTGTGGATTCCCCTAGGTGTACCACAAAGCCCGAGAGGCTGGTTGAAATAACACACCTTTCTTCTGGCCTAAAAGGGTTGACCTCAAGAGCTTGTACGAAGAAGAATTAAGCAAGGACATATCCCTTTGATAACCTAACAGTGCGTTTTGATGGGGTTTTTCCTTTATGCCCCTCCTTATGTAAGCCATGCTTAAATCCATCACCACTTTAGAAACTCTGTGCTGTAGTTTTTAGCTTTTGGTTTTGATTGCAGGTGAAGTGTTGGATTCCTTTGTTGGTAGGATGGGTATGCTCTCCTCTTGACTATCTCCCCTATCTATAATACCTTTTTATTTAAATACGGCCTTTGTTGCTTGTGATGGTGTTTCCTTTCATATATAACTTAAGCTGTCCATCTTATTCTGAAGCTGAATTCCCTTCTTGCTCCAATATTTGCGAAATAACGTCCCTCCTGCAGTATTTTGGGATCAGTTATGGACTAGGCTTGGTTGTTCCTCACAGTGGCCTTGGCATAATGGTTATATTGGTCTATGCCTGCCAGGGTTGATGCTTTGGGACCAACAGCAGATCCTCTGAAGGTGAGATGTGCTGCAATCCCACGGGTTGCTGCAGTTACCCAACTTTGTAAAGATTGAGGAGGAAAGCAAGGTGTGGGGAGATCATATGAAGTCCCTAAGGGCAGCAAGTCTTGAGATCCTGACTCAACATCCTCCAAAGGCTTTGGTATTACGTCAGGTGCTCCAATACCTGACTTTCCGGTACCTTTTTGCTGCTGGCTTAGAAGCCTGGATGGGAATTGATAACTATCTTGTTAAATCTGATTGAGAAGACACCCAGTGTTCAGATGGAGGGGGAAAAAAAAATCCCCTCAAAGCTCTACAAATGGCTTAGTGTCTCTTGGAGGGAGAAATCTGGGCTAAACCTGAATGCCACGATGTCCTGGATGTTGTTGAACCTTGTTTGGTCCCCAACTGCATCAGGGCTTGTAAATATTCCCGGAGGGCAGCTCCTTTGTGCCCTTGTGGAAGGATGAAGTGATTAACGGTGATCAGTGCTGCTCTGTTTGCGTGCTTGAGAAGGTTCACGTTCATCAGCTTTGACGTTGTGGTGACTCGAGTTTTGCTTCTTGGTGTTGTCTCAAGCTGGGCATGGGAGAAGTGGGGAGCTACCAAATCAATTAGCTAAACCCCTTAATTGCTTTTGTAGTGAAGAGGTTTAACTGCATTTGACCGTCTTGTCGAGCCACCCTAGTGTCTTCTCATGCCACACTGGATTTCATTTCTTATTTAGTTTCTTCTTGCCTCCAGACAAGGAGGCGTTCATGGACCTTCTCTGTGGTTTCAGATAGTCCTCCTACTTGTGCTTCTTCCATCATCGCTCATCTGCATTTCCTCTGGCCTCTTGCCCGTGTATTCAGGTAGTCTTTTGGAATTTCTCCCCCTACAAAAAAATAATCTTAAAATCCTCTGATAGCTTTCAAGCAAATCTTCACAAGAAGTGGAGAGATCTCAAAGCTGATGAAGGCCCCTGTAGGAAGAGCTGGCAGCGGAGAAGAGGTGCCTTCCGCTTCCAACAGTTGCTACCGGGGCTGTTGAGTTTGGATGGGTTTTCACAGCTCTGGAGGTAGAGAAGGGGCCTGGATCCTGCTCACTTGCATGTATTTGGATATATTTGCATCTGCATTTGGCTTGTGTGTCTCCGGAGCTGACAAGTACACACAGCGCTCTCTGCAAACCTGAAGGGTTGTTGAAATTTTAATAAGCACCACCTTATCTTTACAGCTCCTTTTCCCTCCCTTGAGCTTTAACTTCCCTATATAGGTTAATATCTTGCGCTGTGTGAAGAAACATCATTGAAGACACAATGTTTGTAATCAGTTTTAATTAATGACAGAAATACTTGTGCAATATCTTGGACTACATCTGCACGAGCAGCTACTTTCTAGACAAGAGTTTGATGCTGCCTCCTTTGCTTTGAGAGCCTCTGGGTGCTCAGATTTGAGTAGTGCCTGCATGGTTGGATTGTTTTATTTTTCTTTCCCACCCCCCAAAGGCTGTGTTCAGTGATGACCCAGTTCCTTTTTACTGGAGAAAACCTGGCATGGTCCCTTCTTGTTTTTTTTTTTTTTTTTTTTCTTCACAATTTCTCCATTTATTTTTCCTGGGGAGCCACCAACATGTGCAGGATGGGTGTGGTTCCCCCAGGGCAAATCTAGAAGTGGCGCTTGTGGATCAGCCTTTCCTATATTTGCTCCTGAACGTCTCAGTCCCAAGATTTGTGCAGCTGTTGGGGTGTTTGCCTTAAGGTCCCACTTAATTGCTTTCTTGGAATAATCAAGGTCTCATGCTTCCAGCTTGTTCCTTCAGTAATTTGAACAAATTCATAGATTACTGTAAAGCACTAAGCCTGTAGATTTATGGACCAGATGGAGTGACTCTGATTCCTCAGTCTACCATATACCAATTACGAGCTCAATTTTTCCCCTTAAATAGAAATGCCAGTGTTAATGTCTGACCCTTTCCAAAGGGGGCACCGCTTAGTGGACTTCAAATACAACAAATGAGTTTTCAGAAGGCTGAAGTCCATGAAAAGGCAAAGTTTTCAAGTTTTCCACTCCCTACTTACTAATCGAAGCTGGTCTCGTATTTTGAGCAAGGATTTTTTTTTTTTTTGCTTTCCTACTTCCCCAGAAGAATCAAATAATTTGTTAGGAGTATGTTTTCCCAGAGTCACGCTGGGACCTACAGTGTTTTCAGGAGAGGTGACAAAGTGTTGCCCTGGCTTGTTGGGTTTGAGACTGTTGTGACTCATCGTGGAGGATGAAGTGAGACCTGGTGAAGCCCTCTGAGATCTCTAAGTGGAAGGAATGAGCTGAGAAGGTGTTTTGGCCAGGACAGGAGCAGGCACTGTTGGTGCTCTGTGGAGTCTTGGGTGGCAAAACCCCTTCTGGATGTGGAGGGAAAGTAGTGGGGAGCAGGGTAAGACTGATATGCATAACAAATGGAGGTTTTCTAAGGGAAGCAAGAGGGTGAAATAGTGGCTTTGGGGAATTTCTTTTAGTGCTACAGTGGATCGTAATATGTTCTTGGAGGACTCTGCCCATGCTTTGCACTGGTGTATGAGAAGCAGGATCAGGTGTCTCCATCCTCTTAAACTGCCAAGCATTGTACCCTCCCACATGTTTTCTTTTATTATTATTTATTTATCCTTGGGTCTTTTGGAGGCTCATTTCATCCATCTGAATCCCTTCTCCCACAATGGAAATCATCTCTGCTTGGGCAGAGCTTTTGTGGCCCTGGATTCAGTGACCCTACTCATGGCAACCTCCTCACCGCAGCATCCCATAATAACCTTTTGCCCCTGCCAGACAGAGGGATATTGCTGTCTGTTATTTCCTGAAGTCGGAGATTAAACATGTTTCCCTGTCTGCAGAAAAGCCCAAGCTGAAACCAAGGAAGGAGGCAGGGATGGAATTAATTTACTGCTTTACAACTCGTTTCTCCACCCCCGTGAACTCTTGACTTGCTGCCTGCACTCAATCCCCTAGAGCTGGCAGGAGCTGGGAGCACTTAGAGACATCGTCACATCTGTTCCTGAGCTCAGGGGTTATACTGAAGTCATCTGCAGCCCCTCGGGTCTTTTCTTGTGTCTGGATGGTGAGACCCTGCGAAGGAGATGCTCGGTTCCTGTTGGCAGTTGGGTTTGGGAAGCCTTTTCTGAATAGCTTGGAAAATAAATTGCTGTAAGCAACTCGTGGTATTAGATAATAAAACTGACTTCCAGTGAATGCTGAACTCTGGAAGTGCCATTCTGAATCCCAAAATAGTGGGGGGTTTTGGGTGAGACTCTGCGCCTCTCTCTCAGCAGGGCTGTGACCCCTTCGCCCAGACCCAGCGCAGCAAACTGCAGCATCGCCGGGCGCGGATTAACCAGCAGATCAACAAGGAGATGAGGATGCGAGCAGGGGCAGAAAACCTCTTCAGGTGAGTCCTGGTCCCCAGGAGCATCCCTCTGGCCCAGGGATTTGGGGAGGAGAGGCTGGAAATATGGCCTTGATGGAGGGAGCTGATGCTGGCACTGCCATGGCCGTGGTTGGGGTTTGCTCAGTCTTCCCTTGACTTTGCGGGATTCATCCTGGAAATACCTGCCCTCTGTTCAGTGTAATGCTGATGCTATGCATTTTAATGCAAAATTATAATTTTAGTGTCCTGGAAGACTGGTACAAAGCAGCGTGTGAGCAGATGAAACGTTTAACTAGGATTGAGCTTGGACTTGCAGAGCTCCTGTCTGACAACCCCAAGCGAGTGGGTCAAATCCAGCTTTAAGTTAAAAAAAAAAAAAAAAAAAAAAAAAA